ATAGCAACACATCGAAAAACGTGAACCTGCTCCTGCGCAGGTTCATCTGAGCTGCTGGATTAGTTCATCACTCCCCCGGAAAAAAAGGGCAGCTCACTTCCTCATTGATGAAGGAGCGACATCAGTTAGATGAACGTTTTATAGGGAGACAGTTCTTAGAGATCACTAAGACCCGTTATGGCATCACGATGACGTCCTGTACGAGCGCTACAGATGCTGAAGACAGGGAATCATTTATTTACAAGATTTCCCCGTTACGTTACGTGATGAACACCACACGCTGCAGCCGAACATCCACTGTCCCACGGACTGTCTCCACTGTCTCATACTGTCTCACACACTCTCCCATGTCTTACACACTGTCTCTCATAATGTCCATGTCTGTACAGTGTTGCGATGCAGAGAAAATCAGGAAAGCCGCTACATGTCGTGCTCTTCGTAAAGTTCTGTTGGCTTATTTGCTGCTTAATAAACTTCTGAACGTTCCACATTTCACTGCTTCAATTGATCAAATGTCTGATTTTGAACAATGGATATATAATGACTCTCCCAGAGACACACTCACACACATATAATAAAACTCCTATTTCTATATGGTCATCTACACATGATACATACGCTGATACAGTCCATATATCCTATTCATTTGTATCAATTTCATTCATTCAGCAGGCACATTTAAAGAAATATAATCTGATTGATCAGAGTGAGCCGTGTCATTTTACCAACATGCATTTAATGTTAACTCATTCGGGCTTGTAGCCTCGCAGGGGGGCGCTGTCAGTTTTTGCCATGATTATATGATTCATTTAATTTCATTTTGTATCGCACAATATCGCAAATTACCTTCGGAGGTCTTTATAGTCTGTACACCTGATGACTGACATCTGGTTCAAACTAACGAGACGGTTTGAGCGCCGATCCGCCTTCGAGGAACCGAGATATCCTGATGTCAATCATCTCGGTAATTTGAGCTGGATAATCAGACATTTGATCGACTTAGTCGAACCACATACGAGGAACAGGGCCCTGAAGTTCTTCACCCTAGCCTAAAGATTCTTGTTTCTCTGTTTACTTCCCTTACACTCCTTTAAACACTGAGTAGATTTGTTAAAAGTGTTTTAGGTTTTTAACAGCAGTGTGTAACTGGTACAAACCAAACTAGGTCATAGGCAATATGTGTTTCATACACTACCAAAATATGTTTTTTAACAAATCAGTGTATAGTTTTTACAAGAGCGTTTCATTTTTCTGAGCGGTTTTGCTAATTGGGTTTGTGGGAGTGCTAATTGTGTGTATGTTTTTGGAATACAAAACAAAACCATCAATATTGTGCTCACGTAATCGAGAAAAACTGTAGAAGTGATTCACGCAGCAAATCACCAAAGTGCTTTAGGTGCTGAAAAATCAATTAATACGAACTAGAAACACCCAAATCGTTACTTTTGGAATACAATAAGACAAACTATGTAAACATTACCATAATCCATTATACCTTTGCACCCAATTTGAGAGCATTCATTTGACAACAGCCAATACCCCCATGGGGGGCATTCCAGATAGGAGGTTCAACAAACTCTGAGTCTATCCCTGAACTCCGAGATGGGAAACTCTGAGTATCCGGTTCCAGAACAGCTGATCTGCATCAGTTCAATCAACTCGGAGTATGTTCACCTTGAGTTAAGCGCGTGCATGACGATTATAAAAAGCCATCATCAATGGAGCCCCGATACCACGAGTCACCACGAGTCACCACGACAACAGAAAACAAAACACTTAGACTTACAGACACATTTTTATTTTATACCTATCGAAGTCATTTAAAATGTGACGCTGTAGCTTACACCAACACTCATTAAAATACTAATTAAAAAACAAAGAAACATTGAGTTCTGCTCAGCCAACAGAGAGAAGGCAGAGGCCCGAAAAACAGGTGGAGGTGGCCCTCAGCCTAAACAGTGGCTGATGGTAACCCTGGGGGAAGCTCATCCGAGCCTGACACTCCCCAGGACACAAGTGCCTACATCAGATGCGAAGTATACGCTTCTTTAAAAAAAATAAAACTAATATATACACTCCTGTTCAAAGGTTCATGGTCACCCAGACAATTTTGTGTTTTCCATGAAAACACTAAAACACTTTTATTTATCAAATGAGTTGGAAAAATTAATAGAAAATATAGTCAAGACATTGACAAGATTAGAAATGATTCTTATTTGGAATATTCATTTTGTTCTTCAAACTTTGCTTTCGTCAAAGAATGCTCCATTTACAGCAATTACAGCATTGCAGACCTTTGTCATTCTAGCTGTTCATTTGTTGAGGTAATCTGTGGAAACGTAGACAATTAGCAAAGACAATGTACCATTTCAGACTGGAGTTATAGTTGCTGGAAATACACCGATGTAGATATTTCATTCTAAACCAGATCCATCTAGAATAGTCATTTACCACATTAACAATGTATGGAGTGTATTTCTGATTCATTTAATGTTAGTTAAGTGCTTTTCTTTGAAAAATAAGGACATTTTTAAGCGACCCCAAACTTTTGAACGGTAGTGTATGTATATATTAGGGGTGTATAGATTCATTCACTGAATCGATTAATCGATTTATATTCCTGCGATCCAACTGAATCGATCTGTGCTCCGCAAATCGGCATTCCGGACGACATATATTGATTACAAATCGATTGAAATGGTACATAATCGATTGTATCGATACTTGGAAACTGCACATTGGATTTAAGCACAAAAACTGTATGGATGTGTGTTTTAGACACGTTAAACGTTACTGGATTCAGTCTGCCTGTCTGTGCCGTCATCAGTACGCAGCGGCAACTGCGTGAAACTCTGAACAACAACAAAACACAGCGTGGAGGAGACGACTGCGAGCGAGACATTTACAAACCAACTTATCGATCCAGCGTGTGGAAACATTTGGGCTTTTGCAAACACGGAGGTGTTCTAAATAAGTCGGTCGCTGTTTGTAGAATATGTAGAAGACAAATAAAAAAATCACGGAAACACGACGAATCTTTCCGGCCATCTACTAAGGCCCCGTGGGATTAAACAACGCCGACAGTCAGGACCTCTAGCAGCGTCACCGCTGCAGCAGCAGCAGGGAACTCCAGCTCTGCAGACACCTCAGGCCTCGCCAGCCTCAACATCACAGTAACAAATTTATCTGTAAAGACATGCGCCCCTACAATGTGGTTGAAAATCGGGTGTTCTGTAAATTGATCCAAACATTGTGTAATTATTGTGTAATGTTTACATTGAAAATGGCACTTGATTCAAATAAAAGGTTAAAGGTGAATAAAAGGTTAATACATTTGCCATTAATTGTTGTTTGCTTGTTTATAATATCCATAATTAATTTAAACCTGATTTCCTTACAAGAAACAACAGGGATCTCAGAAACTTTGCCTGCACTGTCCAGTAAAGTTACTGAATCGATTTCAAGTCACTGAATCGAATCGTTCTAAATCGTCCATGAATCGAATCGGCAACCATGAATTGCGTTTCGAATTGTTGTTAAAATGAATCGTTACACCCCTAGTATATATGTAGCCTACTTTTTAAATAATATATATCCACCCATCCAACAGTTGTGGATGGTGTCATCAGCACAGTTGTAAACCCTGCAGATACTCAGATCTTGCCTCAAATGGTAGTTAAAAGTATTCAGAAACAGTATCTTTTCCTGCATCACAGGAGGATGATGATGAGGTGGAGGAGGAGGAGGAAACGCTGTCTGCTGCCACAGGGAGAGATCCGGAGGGGCCTACCGAAGTGTGTCTACATATTATCTACTGGCAGTGCTCTGCCCATTCACATTCTAGAGTGGAATTTGGATATTGACATGTAGACTGAAGTGATGAGCATAGATAATGGCTAACTAGCACATTCTTGTCCTTGAGAAGAACATGGTTGGGCATCACCAACCCACAGCACAGCTTCAAACAGTGAGATTTTCGGTCAATACCATGTTAAATCTGTATGTGGAACTGTAGGAATTAAATGTCGTCCATATGTTTCCTAGTTCCCTGTAAAGCGGTAGCGTTCTAACAGAAATTCCTCTGGAAATGATGAAACGTCTAATCTGGGTTGGAAGACTCTCTCGCGACGTAAAGCATTTCGAATCACGACGGCTTCGATGTCAATTGGATTCGGTAGGAATGTACAATCCATGTCTACCAGCTTTCTTCATGTGGGAGGAGACAGGTAGAAACTCTGGGTTTCTTATAGTAAACCTGCCAGCGGGCAGGTTACGTTCACAGAGTCTGTTACTATGGTGATTGACTCAGAGTTTCAGTTACCTCTCTATCTGGAACGGATTTCCCTGATCTCGGGGTTAACTTACTCTGAGTTTTCACATAACCCGCTTTCTGGAATACCCCCCAGATCATCCCTGTGGGGGGATTTGTCCTCCACGTCCAAGGTAAAGTCCACCGAATTTAACCCAAAGGCCAACTATTTCTTTATCCCTAAAATAGATTATGTTGATTTGCAGACCTGAAGACCATGGTAACCTTTGACACACGCAGTTTGTATGCAATTATTGTGATTCTCTCTTATCGCCAAACTCAAAAGTTTATTCCGCTCTTCAATTACGAGTGCTGTTACAATGTGGCACTAAAAGGATCTTTCTCCGCCGGTTGTCCTGGCAATGGGACCTTACAGACCTCACCAAAGTGCCATCTATGGCACTATCGATCTACCATCTATGCTGGAAACATCCACACTTTACACATGAATATCTTTGCATATCTGCTGCTATAGGCCAGTGACTCGCCCATTCACACCCAACTTGGCTCCAACGGGTCAGGCAGTCAAAAGTAGGACGCAGAAGCGGAATCTAAATGCCTTTAAACCAAAGTTCATGATGACTTGATTATGTTAGACAAAAGATGCAAAGTATGTATCAAACTAAACCAAAAGCGTACAACAACAGTCACTGGCAGTGTTACAGTTGAAGGTTATTGAAGAGCAGCCTACCTCTCTATCAGGGCAGGGGAGCCGTCCTCTCCTCACAGGGGACAAAACGGAGGTGGAGCTCATCCGGGTTCACCTGCGCATACTCTGGGTCGCACGTCCACGACCTCAGGACCCTGAAGACGTGCCTTGAGAGTCCTCAAAATTTGTTGATGGCAAACTGTCTGAGCTGTCCGTCAAAGTCTACCAAGACCGCCTGCAAGAGAGAGACCAAGAGAAATGGATGAGCATTGGCAAGAAGGTTGACGGGGGAGAAAGAAGGGAGGCAGACGAGAGGAAGGCAGAGCAGCCGCATGGCAACTTGGTCCCTAAAGTGAAGTGTTTCTTTTATTACCAAAAAACAACCGTCGCTGGGAGGAGAAGGGAAGAGAGGCGGAGACGGACTGAGGTAACAGAAAATAAGATTTGACTGACTTGAAGAAAGAAAGCATTATGGGTAAAAAGAGGCCTCATCCCTTCCTGTAGCTGTGACACGCAGCTGTGGTTTCACCCGTAATCTTTGATGAATCGACCTGACAGACTGTGGCAGTAAGTGAGGAGCGTGTTGCTCTGTGCTTAGTATTAAATCTGCTTTTTAAACATCACAAATGAAAAACTGTAGCTCTCTACTTTTACAAGTAACAGGTAGAGCTGACTGAAAACATCTGAAACACAATCTCAATCATGCATCCAGGAGAGTCGAGTCTGGGTGAGTTCCACACCTTATTTTTTAACCAGCTACTTGACGAAAATTCCGGCGATCACATGGTAAAAACTATACATTTATTTATTAAGCATAACTGGGGGGAGATTTCCTGCATTTACTGTGACGCAATGAGAAAGATTATGTATGTATTATATGTATGAAATATAAAGTTAACCAGACAACAGAGAAATTTCTGGCAACAAACTACAGCTAAACAATGATTAATCAATTATCTAATTGGTCATCAAGTTAATTGATAGTTATTCCAACTAATAAAATAATAGTTTTTAGTAGTAATTGGAGGCATAGCGTGAAATATTATATGTTCAAAATCACGTAAAAAAGTTTGTTCACAGTTTTTTTTAAAGTCTACTTCGTTTCATTCTTGGTAAACCTCAGCACAGATGGAAGACATCCGTTACCAGTCAATGGCACTCGGATATTGTAAAATTTGTTTCTCTGATTTTCATACGGGAAATGTAATCAGAGACGAACACATTTCTGAACAGGGTTTAATTTTAGATACAAAATGATGACATGATATAAGCACTGGCGATGATGGATTCACATTTATTTTCTCTGTTAGATGGTTTTGCAGAAAATGGTAAAAGCGCACGTTTCCAATTACAATTCAGATTAAAGTCATAATTGCATAAAATTAGACTCTTCAATTAATGCACAGTACAAATAATTGCTTTTTATTTGTGCCTTTGTCGACAAAGGCTCTCCACTCATTGCTGACTCAATGTGTCCTCATCAGGGAAGATCAAAGACACGCAGCACAGTTGATCACCAAAAGTAAAATTAACATTTAAAAATAGCGGGTTCAAAAAATGAAGATGCCAGTACCCTTGAAGTGATATCAATAGCAACAGAGTAATTTATTCACCGCACTGCAGGGCGATCATAGCTTAATAGCTCTACCTTAAGGTGCATAATATTTCTCTCACTTATCGGTGTGAAACTGCAGCAGCCGTTAAGCGAGCAGAGGACTGTATTGGAACTGAGAGGTGGAGCGATTCCCCCCTGGCGGTGCACTGCTAAAGGTGCTGGCGACACCCAGCAGCCTCGTCGGTTGCAATGTTCATACAATTTCCAGGTAAAAAGTTCGTCATGGCTTTACATAACTCTGAGGGTAAAAGTATTTAGGAGGCCAACGTAGTGAAGATGGTAACCTCTGGTTACCGCAGACAGATGGTGCGAGGACTTCTCTGCATTGCCAAATGCCAGTCAGGCCCGCCTTCATTCACCCCCACTGAGAGACTGAGCATCCAGTCTCCCACAGAGACATGAGGGGGGTGAGTTTGGCACTCGCTAAACTGTGTTGCCACAGTTATAAAAAGATCAATTCAGACTGAATTGGAAAAGACTAAATAGGTGACTCCAGGGTTTCTAAGCACATTTTCTGGTTGGGAATTGTCAGCAAAATGATGCTGGCAGTCCCTTTCCTCCTGCACCGACTCAAATCAGGCCAGTTCAGCAACTCTGGGCTCCACGTTCTGCTTTGCACACTGTCCCCCTTTTCAAAAGGTCCCTCGAGGCTCTGCAGCCATGAAAATAAATACCACGCTCTATAACGCCAATAAAAACAGTAATTAACTTGAATCTCCGTGCAGCTGTGAGGATTTTTTCCGTTTCCTCTGGGTAGCTTGCCAGAAGCGGCAAACCCACTGTCACATCGCTGTGGCGCGCAGGTGGTTCGGCCGACGGGGATGGTCCGTTGTCATTGTCATGTGGCACGCGCTCATTCGCACAACCCCCGTTGGACTGATTAGGGGTAGCAGCTATTTAGAATATACCGGCGGGCAGGTTCTAATGGTGATTGGATATTATCCTGCGTTCTCCTGTGTTTTGAGTGAACTTGCAGCGTTTCTCTCTTGCATGTGTTTTGAAGTTTGTATCACCTGTGCTCCGGTCGTTTTTGTGATTACCGCATTTTTCGTTTGCAGCGTTTTACTGTTGGACGGTGGCCGACATGTTGGCACGTGTCGGCCACCGTAAAATTGCCTGTAATTTTTCCATATTGTTAGTCTGAGAAATGTGCTTTGAATTTTAATTGTATGCATTGAATGTCTGCTATTGACGATGCAATAAAACATCCATCAGTTAAAAAGTAATTCGTACTCTGAGTAGTTTTTGAGAAGAGTACTTTGTACTTTTACTTAAGTATTTTAACACTAGTTTTACTTGTAATAGAGTACAATTTAAACAATGTAACAGTACTTTTACTTGAGTTTTCAGTACTCCTTCCACCTCTGGTGATTATAATCGTCAAAGTGGAACCCAGCTGTGTCCAGGTATGTTGACACCGGTCTGCCTGAGCAGATATCTAAATATATTTTTTGGCCAAGTGAAAGTGTGTAAAATGCATATTTAATTTCCTATAAAATCTTCTCAATAAAAGTCTTCCGTCATTATGACTGCCTGCTCTTCTTTCATGGCTTATTTGTTTGTTCTAAAATTTCAAACGTCATGCTCCGTAACGGGGCTTGACCCGCCCACCTGCCCGGCTTTGGCGGGTAAAGCAGTCACTCTTAATAGCCACATCGGCGGGTGATATTCTATACATCTCTCTCTCTATGTTTTTATTGTAGATTCCTGATCCTGAAAATAAATGTATTCCACACTATGAGAATGTAACACCTATACTGTACTGATGTTTACACTGATACATATAAACTCAAGACTCTTAGCCTGTCATAACCCTTCAATAAATATGAATATGATGCTCTGTGACTTGGAACGGTGTCCTGCTGTACACTATGAATATGTAATGAATGGCTATAATGGCTAGAATACTATTCTGTTGGAAATTATTCAACAGTGAAATTAGGAGTGAAATCTCAAAACTAAATCAGTCAGTTCAATTTTCTGACTTCGTAATCGCAAAGATCACCTTAAAATGGTCCTGATTGTTTATTTTTACATTTATGAACCAAACAAGTCCACAGGAAAGTGTTAATGTTAGCAATATATGCAGAACTATATTTTTATAGGACTAAATGTCATTGTAGAGGCCTCAAGGCTTCCGTATCTGTCGGGCTCCAGTGCCCATGTGACCAATTAAATGAATGAATGATGTGTTCCCAAGCACATTTTACATTTTGAATTGTGGCAGTTAAAAACAACCCTTTCTCTCGACATTTGCCGATGGAACGAACAAATGTTCCAAGTGTATTGGTAAAGACATTGTCCAAGTCCAACTTGACAACATAAAAAAAAGACATTGGTAGATAGTGATTTTCGTATCTCTTTCATCCCATTTCTACACCGATCTATCCCGGTAACTGCACACGGTGCTGATGCCTCAATTCTGCACCCGGTGACCCTCCTCTAACAGAAACTGATGTGGCAAAACCAGATGATCAGTCGGTCTGTGTCTCCCTTGGTGTGTCTTTTAGTGCAAACTGATATCAATCTAACCTGTCAACATACTCCAAATAACCCTTTTCTGTTCCTTATTACACATTTTTCTCAAATGTCTGATGGCAAATAACTCTGAGGTCAAATTTACAACAATTTAACCTGGCAACGCCCAACTGTGTGAATGCCTTCTCTGTTGGGCCTTCTGAAGGAAACAACCTCCTTCTTCAGCTGATAGCATTTCAAGTGGCAACACAGAAAGTAGTTTTCACTTCAGCTTGCTGAACTCGCCCTGACCCACCAACCGTTACTCTCTCTGCCCTTTGGAAAATCAAATCACCTGTTTTACGTTCCCCCTCGCTCCAACTGATTGCTCCATCTGTTTCTCCAACCTGGCAAATTCACCCTGTTAATGAAACCATGCCTCCGCCATCATGCATCAAATAACTTATTTTAGAGGGATATCATCACTACCCGGTGCACTGCATAACTGCACAGCAGGCTGGCAGCACTACTCCAATCTGGCAACATAGTTCTTGACCTCATGGTGTTCAATGTGCACGAAGCCACACATCACACAAACAACAATATATAAATAAGTAATATACATATATAATAAAGGGTGTTGAGAGGAGATGACATTTAAGAAATATTTCAGTCTACTCCTAGAACAATGGAATGCCACTCAAAGTCTGTGTATATGCATGTAAACCCGGCATACCCACCAGGAAAACAAAAACCATCAACTAAAAAGTAAACTAATTGCCTTTTAATTACAATACTATCAGAGTTAAAACTGTTCTATAAATTATGTTTCTGACCTGTATGTGGCAGAACAAAATTAATGTTTAACCAAATTGCCTGGAAGCAAGTTGGCATGAGATCAGAACAAACATCGGAGCATCCTAATTTGGGTCAAAAGGAAAAACCAAGAGTTAAAACCATTACACTGAGGGGCAGGGATCATGCAGGATAGCAGACGAACCGACGAGGAGACAAAGGACACACACGAGCTGTGTCTCATTTGGTTGGCTGCATCCTCAGGAGGACGCAGCCATGCAGTCGACCTGGGCTGCGTCCGCCAACAACCGCATAGGCAGATTCAAGCGGCCCTTGGGACAGTCTGGCCTGAGTCATCAGCCTTTCCT